CGCCGCTCAGTCGGCCGGTGGCAGTCTCTCTGGCTGACCCCTCTGGGGGACCAGTTGTGGCCCGTTCCTCCACTGTTCTCCCGTGTCCTGCGGCTCCGTCCGGCTCGCTGTCTGGTCTTCACCTCCCCTCGTTCTCTACGAACTTGGTGGCGGGTGCTGATCTTCAGGATGGGGGTGTTCACCAGTTCACCCCTGCCTATCAGCGTGTGACGCACTGCACGTGTGCTCGGACGGGCCGTCACCTGGCCACGTTCACTCGTCGGCCAGGGTCCAGCCTGTACACCCTTACCACTGAGTCTCCTCCTGTCACTGCGACTGGTCAGGTAGCCGCGTCGGGTCAGGTGTTTGCTGCAGCGTCCCGGTCTGGTCCTGAGTCTGCCCCCTGCTCGTGTCGCCTCCTGTCTCACGAGACTCTCCTTTGGCACCACCGCCTTGGTCACCCCTCCCTGCCTCGTCTTCGAGGCATGGCCTCCCGTGTCCTTGTCACTGGTCTTCCAGAGTCCCTCCCACCCCTTTCTCCGGGGCCTGCCCCTGCGTTCCCTGCGTTGAGGGCCGGCAGCGCGCCGCTCCTCACTCCTCCGAGTTTCCTCCGACAAAGGCTCCCCTGCAGACTCTTCATGCACGTGTGGGGCCCAGCCCGCGTCCGTGGACAGGGTCACGAGCGTTACTTCCTGCTGGTTGTTGACGACTACTCGCGTTACACCACGGTCTTCCCCTTGCGCTGCAAGGGTGAGGTCACTGAGGTCTTGATCGACTGGATCCGCGCTGCTCGTCTCCAGCTCAGAGAGAGTTTCGGCTCGGACTTTCCTGTTGTGCGTCTGCACTCAGACAGAGGTGGAGAGTTTTCCTCCGACCTTCTGCGAGCCTTCTGTCGGGCGGAGGGCATCCGCCAGACGTTCACGCTTCCGGCCTCTCCACAGCAAAATTTGATTGCTGAGCGCCGCATTGGCATGGTCATGGATGTCGCTCGTACGTCCATGATCCATGCGGCTGCTCCCCATTTTCTGTGGCCGTTCGCGGTTCAGTACGCGGCGCATCAGATCAACCTCCAGCCCCGGGTCTCCATGCCGGAGACCACCCCCACTCTGCGGTGGACGGGGAAGGTTGGCGATGCGTCTGCGTTCCGTGTCTGGGGATCTCGAGCTTTCGTCCGCGACTTGTCTGCGGACAAGCTGTCCTCCCGTGCCGTTCCCTGCGTCTTCCTTGGCTTCCCTCCTGACGCGCCTGGTTGGCAGTTTTACCACCCCACCTCGCGCCGTGTTCTGTCCTCTCAGGAAGTCAAGTTTGACGAGTCGGTTCCTTACTACAGTCTCTTCCCCTACCGCACTGCCCCTCTCCCCCCCCCGCCGCTCTTCCTCGCGCCAGGTACTCCTCCGGTAGACCCCCTCCCCCCTCAGGGTCCTGCCCCCTCAGGTGTGTCTCAGGATGACGCAGTCGAGCCTGTTGAGGTAGCTGTTGACTCTGGTGCTGCTTGTGGTGCTGAGCCTGAGGGTGCCGCGTCTGGGGGTGCTGAGCCTGGGGGTGCTGAGCCTGGGGTTGCTGAGTCTGGGGGTGCTGAGCCTGGGGGTGCTGAGCCTGGGGGTGCTGAGCCTGGGGTTGCTGAGTCTGGGGGTGCTGAGACTGGAGGTCCTCCGAGTGTCCCGTCGCGGCGGGAGCCCCTCTCTCCACGGCAGCTTCGTGAGTGGTACGCTCGACGCTGTAGCCGTGCTGCTGGAGCTGGGGGGCCTAATGCTGGAGGTGCTGCTGGTGCTGGAGCTGCTGGAGGTGCTGCTGGTGCTGGAGCTGCTGGTGGTGCTGCTGGAGGTGCTGCTGGTGCTGGAGCTGCTGGAGGTGCTGCTGGTGCTGGAGCTGCTGGAGGTGCTGCTGGTGCTGGTGCTGCTGGAGGTGCTGCTGGTGCTGGAGCTGCTGGAGGTGCTGCTGGTGCTGGAGCTGCTGGAGGTGCTGCTGGTGCTGGAGGTGCTGGAGCCGCTGGTCCTGGAGGTGCTCGTACTGGAGGTACTGGAGCTACTGGGACTGGAGCTGCTGCGGGAGTTGGAGCTGGAGGTGCTGGAGCTGCTGGAGCTGCTGGTGGTGCTGCGGGAGTTGTAGCTGGAGACCCTGGAGCTGAGGGTGCTGGTGCTGTCTCTGCTGGTTCAGGAGGTGCTGCGCGGCCGCGGCCGTACTACGTTCCACTCCTTCAGCAGGTTCTTGGCCTCCTGCCCTCTACTGGTACTACTCCTCCCCTACTGAGTCCACCGCCTGTCCAGTCGCAGTCACAGTTACAGCCAGCCTCTCCGCTGCCTGGTCCTTCTCCTTACGCTGGACCGACTAGAGGTCTTACGGAGCGTCGTGAGCCTGAGTCTCGTCCTGCGTCGCCTGAGTCTCGTCCAGAGTCGCCTGTCCGCGCTGTCCGCACTGGTCGTCGTGTTCCGCGTGAGCGTCCTCCTCCTGTCCCTGGCACTCACTATATGACTCTGCGTCCTTCCACTGCTCCACAGCGTGTCCCTCTGCCGTCTTCCTGCGTCCTCTCTTCCTGTCGGTCCGGACCCGGAGTCTGACTCCCTTCGTGCTGCCAGTCCTACTGTCACGCGTTTCTTCGCCACTGTTGTCACAGACCCTTCCTTTGAGTCCACTGCTACGTCTGCTCTAGTTGCTGAGCTTGTTGACTTTGCTGCCGCTTGTCGCCTCGACTACGCCGCTAGTCTTGTTGCTGAGTCTGAGTCTGTCTGTCCTCCGTCCGTCGGGGGTGAGTGTGCTCTTGGCACGGACGTCCTTGAGGACAGACAGGAGGAGTTTGAGTGCTTTGCCGCTGCTTTACCTCATCTCATGTCCATGCTGATTGCCCCTGAGGGAGACCCGGATGCACCAGACATCCCGACCCCGCGCTCTTACGCAGAGGCGATAGAGGGTCCCTACTCCTCTCAGTGGCAGTCAGCCATGGACGCAGAGATGGCTTCCTGGAAGTCCACATGCACCTACGTCGACGAGGTTCCCCCGCTTGGGGCGAACATCGTCAGTGGCATGTGGATTTTCAGGGTGAAGCGGCCGCCGGGTTCTCCACCTGTCTTCAAGGCGCGTTACGTTGCACGAGGCTTCAGTCAGTGTGAGGGAGTTGACTTCTTCCAGACCTTCTCCCCTACCCCGAAGATGACCACTCTTCGGGTTCTGCTGCACGTCGCCGCTCAGCGTGACTACGAGCTCCACTCTCTTGACTTCAGCACTGCTTTCCTACAGGGCAGCCTGCACGAGGAGATCTGGCTGCGCCGCCCACCTGGCTTCACTAGGTCGTTTCCTCCTGGTACCCAGTGGAGCCTCCGGCGGCCAGTCTACGGTCTCCGCCAGGCACCCCGTGAGTGGCACGACACACTGAGGACGACTCTTGCTGCTCTTGGGTTTGCTCCTTCTACTGCTGACCCGTCGCTGTTTCTACGCACCGACACCACTCTGCCGCCGTTCTACGTTCTCGTGTACGTAGACGACTTGGTCTTTGCCACTGCTGACACAGAGGCACTCGCCCACGTGAAGTCGGAACTGCAGAAGAGACACACGTGCACAGACCTGGGTGAGCTGACAAGCTATCTTGGCTTGCGGATCACCCGGGACAGAGCACAGCGCACCATTACCTTGACTCAGTCACACATGGTGCAGCAGGTCCTTCAGCGCTTCCGCTTCACGTACTCCTCGCCACAGTCCACTCCTCTACCTACTCGCCACTCGCTCTCAGCTCTGCCTTCGGATGAGTCCGTAGAGCCGAGTGGCCCGTATCCAGAGCTTGTGGGCTGCCTCATGTACCTGATGACCTGCACTCGACCTGACCTAGCCTACCCTCTTAGCATCCTAGCACGCTATGTCGCTCCTGGCCGACACAGGAAGGAGCACATGGATGCTGCCAAGAGGGTGTTGCGCTACTTGTGCAGTACGTCGGGCATGGGGCTCGTGCTTGGAGGGCGAGGTCCAGTGGTCCTCACTGGTCACGCAGACGCTTCTTGGGTTGACGACTTGGCTACGCAGCGGTCGTCACAGGGTTACACCTTCAGCCTTGGTTCCGGCTCTGTTTCGTGGCGGTCTACCCGCTCGTCTTCTGTTCTCAGCTCCAGCTGTGAGGCTGAGATCTACGCAGGGGCCATGGCTGCACAGGAGTTACGCTGGCTCACCTACCTGCTGACCGACCTGGGAGAGCCGCCTCGTTCTCCTCCAGTTCTGTACGTAGACAACAAGGCCATGCTGGCCTTGTGTCAGGAGCACAGACTGGAGCACAGAACGAAGCACATTGCTCTTCGCTACTTCCTTGCACGTGAGCTGCAGCAGCGTGGTCAGCTGCGCCTTGTTTATGTGGCCTCTCCGAACAACACTGCTGATATGTTTACCAAGGCACTTCAGCCTTGTGATCATCAGCGCCTTCCTGTACTATGTTAGGTCTTGTGCCTACCTGGCCTCACTTGCTTACCTCTTGATTTTGCTTTGTACTGTGATCTATATATACCTGCACCTGCCTGTTTACCTTTGCTAGGTTGTGATCACTTTCTTGCTTGTTCACCTTGATTTATAATCCTGCATGTGAACTAGCCTTGTGGCCTTTGAACCTATGCTCGGAATGTGTGGTGACGTTGTGATCCACCCTGAGCTTGCCTTGCTTGACTGGTCTTGTGACCCCTTGTTCTCCCCCACTTTGCCTATGGGGGTGTGTCAAACATTCATGCTATAGTCTTTCTAGGCTGTAGTGGGGTAGACACTATGGGGTACAGTTTTCTAGGGTTTCATATTTGTACCCAACTCATTTCCTAGTCCATCATTCCACTCAGTTTCTTCACAAAAATCCATGTCGTAACAAAACTTTACAACATCGGAGTTTGGCCCTTAGTGTTATACCATAGAACATTTTTATTTCTTCTATGGAACAGGGAAAGCGTCTAACATAAACTAAACAAGGGCACTACCAGCTCTTTCACTTCTTGCCTCCATTGCCACCCTTTCCACTCCACCCTTGCCGCCCTTGCCTCCCTTTCCCCCCTTGGCACCCTTCACACTCTGAGTAGTAGCAAAGTTTGCACTGCCAGGTCCTCCCTGCATCCCGCCAGATCCCCCCTGCTGTCCTCCCTGATCACCACCCTGTTGTCCGCCCTGCTGTCCGCCCTGTTGTCCACCCTGCTGACCGCCCTGCGGTCCGCCCTACTGTCCGTCCTGCTGACCACCCTGCTGTCTGCCCTGCTGTCCGCCCTGCTGCGGCGGTCCGTTAGGTCCGCCCTTCTATCCGCCCTGCTGACCGCCCTGCTGGCCGCCCTGCTGTCCGCCCTGCTGCGGCGGTCCGCTAGGTCCGCCCTGCTGTCCGCCCTGTTGCGGCGGTCCGCCAGGTCCGCCCTGCTGTCCGCCCTGTTGTCCGCCAGTGAAGACTTGCGGCGGTCCCTGCTGGCCGCCCTGCTGTCCGCCCTGCTGCCCGCCTTGCTGCCCGCCTTGCTGTCCGCCCTGCTGTCCGCCCTGCTGCCCGCCCTGTTGCAGCGGTCCGCCAGGTCCGCCCTGCTGTCCACCCTGCTGTCCGCCCTGCTGTCTGCCCTGCTGCCCGCCCCGCTGCCCGCCCTGCTGTCCGCCCTGCTGCCCGCCCTATTGCCCGCCCTGCTGCCCGCCCTGCTGTCCGCCTTCCTGTCCGCCTTGCTGGCCGCCCTGCTGCCCGCCCTGTTGCGGCGGTCCGCCTGGTCCGCCTTGCTGTCCGCCCTGCTGTCCGCCAGTGAAGACCTGCTGTCCCTGCTGTCCACCCTGTTGTCCGCCTTGCTGTCCGCCCTGCTGCCCGCCTTGTTGCGGCGGTCCGCTTTGTCTGCCTTGCTATCCGCCCTGCTGTCCGCCAGTAAAGACCTGCGGCGGTCCCTGCTGTCCGCCCTGCTGTCCGCCCTGTTGTCCGCCCTGTTGTCCGCCCTGCTGTCCGCCCTGCTGTCCGCCTTGATGTCCGCCCTGCTGTCCGCCTTGATGTCCGCCTTGCTGTCTGCCCTATTGCGGCGGTCCGCCTGGTCCGCCTTGCTGTCCGCCCTGCTCTCCGCCCTGCTGACCTCCCTGCGGCTGTCCGCCGGGTCCGCCCTGCTGTCCGCCGGGTCCGCCCTGCTGTCCGACGGGTCCGCCCTGCTGTCCGCCGGGTCCGCCCTGCTGGCCCCCGGGTCCGCCCTGTTGTCCGCCAGGTCCGCCCTGCTGTCCGCCATTGCCGCCACCCATATCTCTGCCACCTCCGCCGCCTAGGTCTCCGCCACTTCCGCCGCCCAGGTCTTCGCCACTTCCGCCGCCCAGGTCTCCGCCACTGCTGCCACCCAGGTCTCCGCCACTGCCGCCGCCCAGGTCTCCGCCACTTCTGCCGCCCAGGTCTCCGCCACTGCCGCCGCCCAGGTCTCCGCCACTGCCGCCGCCCAAATCTCCGCCACTACTGCCGCCCAAATCTCCGCCACTGCTGCCGCCCAAATCTCCGCCACTGCCGCCACCCAGATCTCCGCCGCCACTGCCGCCGCCCAAATCAACTTCGTTGCCGTCCCCCAAATCAACAGTTATCAAAATTGGTTTGATTGCTGTTGCCTTTAGAAGTGATAGGGGTTTAAGAGCAAGACTGCGGCGCGGAGCGAGGGACCTCGCGGATCCTGCGCTGTTGGACAAGACACGTTTATATATCGTAAATGTCCATACAGATAGAATGGCAAAACACACTGCGGACAACACTTGCGGCTCTTGGGTTTGCTCCTTCGACTGCTGACCCGTCACTGTTTCTATGCACCGACCCTTCTCTGCCGCCGTTCTACATCCTCGTGTATGTCGACGACTTGGTCTTTGCTACTGCCGACACTGAGGCGCTGACCCTTGTGAAGGCGGAGCTGTAGAAGAGACATACTTGCACTGACCTGGATGAGCTGCGCAGCTATCTTGGCTTCCAGATCACCCGGGACAGAGCACGATGCACCATCACTCTGACTCAGTCACACATGGTGCACCAGGTCCTTCAGCGCTTCGGCTTTCAGTTCTCCTCGCCACAGTCCACTCCTTTGCCTACAGGCCACTCACTCTCAGCTCCACCTTCGGACGAGTCCGTAGAGCCGAGTGGCCCGTATCCAGAGCTTGTGGGCTGCCTCATGTACCTGATGACGTGCACACGACCTGACCTCGCGTACCCTCTCAGCATCCTTGCTCGCTTCGTCGCCCGCGGGAGACACAGGAAGGAGCACTGGACAGTTGCGCAGAGGGTACTGCGTTACTTGTGCAGTACATCGGGCATGGGGCTCGTGCTTGGAGGACGGGGTCTAGTGGTACTCACAGGACACTACAACGCTTCTTGGGTTGACGACCAGGCGACTCAGCGGTCGTCACAGGGTTACTCTTTCAGTCTCGGCTCTGGTTCTGTCTCGTGGAGGTCCACTCGTTCGTTTCCTGTGCTTGGTTCCAGCTGTGAGGCCGAGACCTACGCTAGGGCTATGGCTGCACAGGAGTTGTGCTGGCTGACCTACCTGCTGGCCGACTTGGGTGAGCGGCCTCGTTCTCCTCCAGTTCTGTACGTCGACAACAAGGCCATGATTGCCTTGTGTCGGGAGCAGAGACTGGAGCACAGAACGAAGCACATTGCTCTTCGTTACTTTCTTGCTCGGGAGCTGCAGCAGCATGGTAAGCTGCGCTTTGCTTACGTGGCCTCTCGGGCCAACACTGCTGATGTCTTCACCAAGGCCCTTGGGTCTGGTGATCATCAGCGTTTCTGCACTGCTCTAGGCCTTGTGCCTACTCTGCCTCACCTGTTGGCTGCTTGACTTGTCTTGTACTGTGATCTATATATATATACATGCATGCTTGCTCTTGTTAGGTTGTGATCACTGTACTGCTTGTGTTTTTATCACTCTGCATGTGAACTGGCCTTGTGGCCGCTTGCTTGTGCTCAGACTGTTTGGTGATCTTGAGATCCACCCTGAGCTTTGCTTTGCTTTGTTCTCTTGCTTGACTGGTCTTGTGACCGTTGGTTGTTCTTGCTATCCCCCACTTTGCCTATGGGGGTGTGTCAAACTGTGTTTGTATGTCTGTAGGCTATAGTGGGGTAGCCTCTACTGAGTACAACACTTTAGGGTTAGACCTAGTACTTGTACTCATTCTTGCATCCTAGTCAATCATTCCTGCTCGTTGATTCTGACAAGGTCCTTGGCCCAGCCTGCGCAGAAGCTCCAAATCTCCCCCATGCACTTGCAGGGCTCTTCTCAACAGAGGGACGTCTACTCTACCCCCTCCAAAACATGGAGATAATGGGGAAGCGAAGGTGTAGGCACGGTCCGAGAAAGGATCGTAGGCTCTTAACACCAAGTGTTACGAGTTCAATTGAGTGAGCGAACGAAGACTGCACTGTCGAAGCAAGAGTACAATGAGCGAAGGCATGAGCGAACAATATATAGCGAAACCCTAGCGTGGTAACGGTCATGCGCGAGAATGTGGTGTGCGACGGGCCTGGCGCCGAGGTTGGGAATTGTCGAGGCGGAGGGCCGGAGCGTGGGATACCAACCGAACCGTGAGGTTGAGGCGCGAGGTGTACAGTGGCGGGAACAGTGGTCGAGGCGAGTGTCGCGAGCGGGTAACGTTTTTACTATTGGGTGCTGTTGGCGGGAACAGTCGTGTACGCGTTAAGCTGGGGCGCGGAGTAAGGAAAAGGGTTTTTGGGTTGCGTAGCAACCTTATATAATTGGTTTCACTTATTGGGGATATCATTTCAAGAGTTGTTTTCAGCACTTTTTGGAGCACCCGCTTGAACATTTTTTCACCGTGTTCATGAGAATGCCTCAAATAGTGGATAAAAATGAATCATGAATGAAATATCCCAAAAGTGAAACCAATTACGTATCATGCTGAAACCATGAATTTGTTCCGAACGTCCCAGCATCGTCGATTAATACGGCGGATGGTACGATCGAACATGGCATCAACATATGCGAATGTGTCAAGATAGTAGCTTAGGAGGCTAGGGTTTTGGGAAGAGAGGGTTGACCAAGAGAAGAGGGTTGCAATAACATTGGGAGTACAAGTTATAGGAGAGGGGAGGTGGTGAAGGGAGGTAGACGACCTAACGACAAGATAGGGTGATACTACACTACTAGCTAGACATGCAATTATAGAATGCGCTTGTACCGTATTCTCCCGGACATAACACCCGCCAAAATTGTACACCCCCCGGGTAGCTTGTGCTGGGTGGGTGTTATAGGCAACCTCGTTTGTATTATACCCCCCCTTTTGGGGTGATTCTGTATAACACCCCCTTTTTCTTACAAGATTCGTTATTATAGCTAGTAACGGGTAGGTGCAATTACGGGAGGACTTCGCGACCATCACTTCCTCGATGAAATTCCATGGCAATTTCGAAAGAATCTGCTGGAATCACCTCCCTCCTACCTTTTTCGTTGTTGCCACGCTGGTAGATAATTCGCTAACAAAGCGGCCAAAGAGGTGCCACATGGCAATTTTGAGGGGGTGAGAATGTTGGAGCCGAAACTCGCGTTCTCGCCTCTGACTGTGATGTTAAACCAATTTTGAAAACACCCAAGCTGTCCATTTATCAAAATCCTTAAACTAAAAAATGACATATCAGTAGACCCGTGTGGTATGTAGTTTTTTCCGATGAGAAGCCCCCCCCCCCCCCATTTTTCATTTGCATTTTCAGATCTCCAATCTTGTTTACCACCAGAACACTCCCTAAACCCCTCCTATGCCTAGAGTTGGGCATAGGAGCACTTTAATCAACGATGTGATCAACGTCAGGTTTTCTACCATGTCGTCTGGCTTTGTTTCCGCAGTAACCGACCGACCCCCCGCTCCACGAATGGTTACGCGCAGCAGTGGCAGGCGTGCTTCCCCGCCAAGAGACGAGGATCGCGCTCTTTCCTTCGCGATCGCTCAAGATCGCCACGTCAAAATGGCGGAAACGCAACATTGACCGAGCTTGACCTGTTAAATGGCGCGAGACAGCCTCCTCCTTCTGCACCTAATGTCGTCGCCGAAGGACCCGGTAACGAGCGTGGGCCCCCCGGATTTCAAGTCGAGGGGCGAGCTGCACGTGCAACCAACGACCCGACTCAGCCAGGCGAAAACGCCCCCGCGCGCCAGGGTCCTGCAATCCAGGCGCAGGACCGCAATGATCGAGGTCCTGCACAGGCAGATCGCAATCATCGCGATTCTGCACGTGCAGATCGCAATCAGCGAGATTCTGCACGTGCAGATCGTGACCGCGATTCTGCACGTGCAAGTCGCGAGCGGGATCCTGCTCGTGGCGAGCGTCAGATTCGGGAGCCAGCACGCGAGGATCACCGCCCTGATTATGCAAACCGGCGCGTGAAATCAGGGCGAGCATCGAGATCCGCAGAATCCGGCAGCTGGGATTGCAGAAATCGCGGAAATCATTGCTCGCCTTGACCCCGCCAGCCAGCAGAATCTGAGGCGAATGTTCACTGAAACTGGCGGCGAGCGCGTTATGGCGCGATCCAGCGCATCTACAGGGCGCCGTGTATCCGAGAATAATTTGGCGTGCTATACTGGAAACAATGTCACAATATAAAATTGACTAAAACAGAAAAGTACAAACAAGATATATGCAAAACCTAACCCTAGTGCAAGTACAAAATAACACAATGGAAAACACCTAGACTAGAACTACACAAACTATAGAATTATAGTTTGACACACCCCCATAGTCTAGGTGACGGTAGTCCTGTAGAAACAACAAGGGCAAGCAACGGTCACAAGACCAGTCCACAAGAACAAGACAAATCTCAGGGTGGAGCTCAAAGTCACCACACACTCCGAGAGCAAGCAAGGGGCCACAAGGCCAGTCCACATGCAGGTATATAGCAAATATATATAGAGATGCAAGAGTACAAGACATGCAGGACAAGGCATCTCTACGTAAGCAAGTGAGGACGGGCAGACACAAGGCCAAGCTGGGTGCAGAAACGCTGGTGGTCACAAGGCGGCAACGCCTTGGTGAAGATATCTGCAGTGTTGGCCTCAGCGACCACGCTGCTGCAACTCACGCAGAAGGAAGTAACGAAGCTGGATGTGCTTCGACTTCCCAACCAGTCGGGGCTCCTCACACAACAGGACAGCAGACTTGTTGTCGGCGAACAAGACTGGGGGAGAGCGAGGCCGCTCACCAAGGTCGGTGAGAAGGAAAGACAGCCAGCGAAGCTCCTGAGTAGCCATGGCCGCAGCGTACACCTCTGCCTCACAGCTAGAA